ATGTGCCATTCTCACTGGTGTGAGATGGTATCTCATGGTAGTTTTGATTTGCATTTCCCTGATTACAAGTGATGTTGAACATTTTTTCATATGTCTGTTGGCCATTTGCATTTCCTCTTCAGAGAAGTTTCTTTTTAGCTCTTCTGCCCATTTTTTGACTGGATTATTTTCTTTGTTGTTGCTGAGTCTCATCAGCTCTTTGCAGATTTTTGTGATCAGTCCTTTATCATTAGTGTTGGGTGCAAAAATGTTCTCCCAGTTGGTGGGGTTTCTCTTTGTTTTTGTTATTGTCTCTTTTGCTGTGCAGAAGCTCTTTAATTTGATGTAGTCCCAGCTGTTTATCTTTCTCTTCACTATCACTGCTTTGGGTGATGTGTCTGTAAAGATGTCTTTGATGTGCAAATCCCGTAGTGTTTCGCCTATATTTCCTTCTATGTATTTTATGGTTTCAGGTCTTATGTCTAGTTCTTTAATCCATTTTGAGTTGATTTTTGTGTATGGTGTGAGGTAGTGGTCAAGCTTCATTCTTTTGCATGTAGCGACCCAGTTTTCCCAGCACCATTTATTGAACAAACTTTCTTTGCTCCAATGCATAGTCTTTGCTCCTTTGTCAAAGATTAGTTGACCATAAATCTGTGGGTTTATTTCTGGATTTTCTATTCGATTCCATTGGTCTGTATGTCTGTTCTTGTTCCAATACCATGCAGTTTTGATGATTATGGCTTTGTAGTATAGTTTGAAGTCTGGGAGTGTGATGCCTCCATTTCCTTCTTTTTTTTTCAGTAGAGCTTTGGCTATTCGGGGTTTTTGGTGATTCCATATGAATTTCATCAATAATTGTTCTATTTCTTTGAAGAATGCCATTGAGATTTTGATTGGAATAGCATTGAATCTGTATATTGCTTTTGGTAGGATGGCCATTTTAATAATGTTTATTCTTCCAATCCATGAGCAGGGGATGTCTTTCCATTTCTTTGTGTCTTCTTCTATTTCTTTTAACAGTGTTTTATAGTTTTCTTTGTATAGGTCCTTTACCTCTTTTGTTAGATTTATTCCCAAATATTTGATTTTTTTTGTTTCGATAATAAAAGGGGTGGTTTTTTTGATTTCTTCTTCTTCAGATTTATTGTTTGTGTATAGGAAGGCTACTGACTTTTGCGTGTTGATTTTGTATCCTGCCACTTTACTGAATTGATTGATGAGTTGAATTAGTTTTTCTGTGGAGATTTTGGGGAAGAACCAATCCATTTTAAATTTAAACTACTTGGGGACAACGGGTCTTTATTTTGGGTGAATGTAATGGTACGTTTCATTGCACTCACTGTGGTTTCATTAAGATGATTGTGTCTCAAACTCTAATCTCTTGAATATTAGAAATTGTCTCATTTCTTTGATAAGAATATATCAGGGTTAAGAATATATCAGTTCCCGAGTCAATTATAGTTTAGTGGGTCACTCAGATTTTAGGAAAGAGAGAATCATGCTTCTGAGTCATAAAGAGTCAAAATGAAGACAAGACCATCAGCTGTGCTGATAATCAGGCCATCCTTTAAGCTCACTACTCTATTTTATACACAGGTGTGACTGACATATAAAGTGTTACAGGATTTTCTTTGAAAAACACTTACTATGCTTCAGACTTAATATGGTCCTGTGACCCTTTATAAGAGGAGCAGGATAAATGCCTTTTGAACTACCTGCATTTCCTTACTCAATTTCGGATGTTTCAAAATAGTTTGTTTCAGTTTCAATTGATTTTGGAAACCTGCGAGTTAAAGGCAAGTTTGGAGTTCTCTTGTCTCTTTCCTTTATGTTTTCTTTCTCTCCTCTTTTCTGTTCTCCTTCTCTTTTTCTCCATGACTCTTTTCTTTTTTATTTGATTATGTCTGTGATCCTAGGACATTAAAAAAAAAAAAAAAGGCATCCCAAACGGCCTCAAAAGTGACTTTGTGGAGAGTTTTACACATTCATCAGATCTTTCTAATTCTCCGTACAGGAAAATAATCCCCTTTGTGGGAAACCCCGGCCCCTCTTGTGTGTGTCAGGTGTCATGAAATCTAGTGAATTGCCTGAATAAAATGGAAAGTGTTCTCTCAATTATATGTAAGTGTTGGGTTTTGAAGCATTTATTTCAGACGGGTATTAGGAGAAATTGGAGAGGGGAGAAGAGAATGGGAGAAGAATGAGAACATGCCTTTCCCCACCCCAAGAGTAAAAACAAAACAAGCTATCCAAACCAAAGATCCCAGTCCTCATGAAAACAATAGAGGAAAATCACGTAGGGATTAAGAATTTGAAAGAGTCACTTTATAAACTGCCTCAGCCAGGCCTGTGCCCTTGTTAACTAATCCACTAATTGGTTACACACAACTTCTGCGTGGCACAGCGCTCCCTGTCTTTAAGGCCTCTGCATTCATCTCTCCAGCACCACTGAATTCAGAGTTTGGCCATGTAATTAGGTTTCTTGAAAGACAAGGTTTTGCTGAAAATGCAGTGTGTCCAGCAGAACTTACAGCAATATCTCCCTCCACACTGAGTCACAAAGCCCTAAATGACAGGCCCCTGCGCCCAGTGTGGACTGCCTACCCACGCTGAGGCAGGCCGGACTCAGCACCGGCTCTTGCACTTCTCTGTGCGTCTACAGCTACTTTCGGCAGCCAGTTCCTCAGGCTTCCGCCCTCTTCTCTTTCATCCAGAGGTTAGGTGCTTTTAGGAAATGAACTGAAATGCATTCAAGACAAGATAACAAAGGAAGCATAACTTCAAATTACCCTTTCCGAAGGATTTTTGACCCAAGGCAAAACTTTTATAAAAATCCCCTCTTTTCTACTATTCTGGGGAAGACAGGTCATCTTCTAGGCAGTAGGGTTTTCCCAGTGCTTTTGGGGTCATTTCTGGATGTGGTCCATCCTGTCATCCACGTACACAGCAGCTCCCAGGCCTGTGGAGCAGGCCTTAGGATCACCGCTCTGTGAAGCCAGAGGTGTGCGGGCCTCAGGATGTCCCATGACATCTCGGAAGATGACAGAGAAGGAGCACATGACAGAATTGTGTTTTCTGCCAGCAATGTTCTTTTGAGTACCAAACTGCATGTGATAAATAACCTTAACCACAACACAGATTGCTATTGGGCTGCCTTCGCTGCTGCTAATCATCATCATCATTGTCATTGTCACAACAATAACAATGCTGACAACTCTAAGAAGTGATGTCAGTTCCAGGACAAAAGTCTTTTTCTGTGACATTTTCTCCCCATGAGGTTAGAGCACTTCCTTTATTTATGTAATGACCCGCTACCTCCAAGATCCTTGAGCGCTGACGCTACGCTGGTCAGAACTGGGGAACAGGAATGACCCAAGGATGCAGTCACAAAAGTTCTTAAATTGTGCTTGGAGTGAAGGCCACCATCCCACACTAGGTCAGTCTAGAACAAGGGGACAGAAAGTCAGCCTCGCCTGGAAAATAGCATCCCACCCAGGAAGAAAGCCAGGTCCCGTGGGATGTGGGACGAGAGAAAGGTGAGTGGGCCTGGGGAAGGCTGAGCAGGCTTTCTCCTCCTGGGGCCTGGTGGCTTCCTACTCTTGGGAAGACAGGCAGTTTCTGCTGATGGCCTCTGCTGCTCCAGGGCTCCACCCACTACAAAAGTGAGTCTGGCCCCTTGAGTTTGGTGGGGAGATACGCTTTGGGAGAGGGCATGAATAGGTAGTAAGACAAATAAAAAGTAACAAAAAGTCTCACATGAGCAACCACAGTGCCTTCATAGGCATTATCTCACTTTACAACAATCCTGCGAAACAGGTTGAGAAAGAAATCATCTCCATTTTAGGGAAGGGGAAGCTGAGGTCTCAGGGTTTCCTGAGGAGAAACCCTAGAAGGTGAGGGCGAGTGGTTGGAGTGGCAGAGTTGACACAAGAACTGTGACTGGGGGTGGAGAGGGGTGATGGTGACTGTGGATGTGCAGAAAGCTGAGGTCAGGCTAGGAGAGGCCTGTCCTGCAGGGTGCCTCCAGGGACACGACAGTCCACAAGCCACAGGGGCATTTACTTGAGTCATGGATCCTCCTCCTGGCTTCCCTTCCCTCCTTGATGCTGTTCATCACCTTCCCCCTACCTCCAGATCAGCCAGCCTTCTCCATGCCACAGCACACAAGCAAGGCAGGTGCGGCAGTCAGAGCTGTGGTGGGGTTTAATGCCCCCTCCCACAGCAACCTAAGCCTCTTCCCCACCTGCTTTGGTCTTCACCCCAAGCTAAGAATTAGAGATGACGTGACTTACAAGTGCGGTCCTACGTGCTCCTCAATAGTGTTAATAGAGAAACTGTCAGGGTGAGGATAATAGCAAACATGGAACCATCAGATATGAACCTGGGCTGTCTCACCCCAGAGTTGATGCTCTTAACCGCTACATCGTCCCGTAAGAGGATTCTAGCTGGGCCTGCCTTTGAGGGTTAGCATCTGGCTTAGCACCGTTTATCACAAAACCTTCAACACTCAGCTGGACAGTGGCCAGAATGGAGTGGACAGAGGAGGAGCTCAGGCTGAGGGAAGCATTCAATAACAGCAGAGAACAAACAAGCCATGCAGCCACGGGGCAGGTCTCCAGGCAGAACCTGAAGCTCACAGCAGGTCTTAGGAATAGCAAGGCTGGTGGAAATCTCTAGATCCTTGTCTCCTGCGGAAGACTCATGCATACATGAGGGAGCATGCACACACCACAGCAATCAACAATGACAACCACATCACACATGAAAACAGCTCTGCAGACAGGCCTTGCTGTGCTGCGTCCCTGGAGGACTGACACCATTAAATTGGGTGTTAGGAGCCCCTCAGCTGCACTGATGGAATGAAACAATGACACAGGCCTACAGACTTGCACCCAGCAACACAACGTCTATGCTGCAGACCCAAGCCTTTACTTTGGGCACAGGTGTGAACACACACACACACACACACACACACACACTCACTCACTCACTCACTCACACATGTTGCAGGTTCCCACCTGTCATCGCAGTAGGTAAACTTCATGTCCATGCTGTGGCGGCTCAGGAAGGTCTTGCTGTCCAGGGGGATGTCCATGTGGGATGGGTGCTGGATGGGTTCACACATGATGATGAGACAGGAGAGCAAGGGCTCCTTGTAGCCGCAGAGGCTACTGTGAGGCGGGCAGCTGCTGTACACCTTCACCTGGCCAGTGCAGTGCAAGACCTGGAGACCAGCCCGGGAGGGTCAGATGTTGTGCCAAGAGCACTGGGCAGGGGAATGGGGGTGGGGGTGGGGTGGGCACACCTGGGACTCCAGCCCAGGCCCAAGGTCACCCTACCTTCCAGGTGGCTGACTTGAGGTTGACGGTTCGGCCTCTGTTGGTGACTGTGCACTTCATCCTCATGAAGAAGTCTCTCTCTGTGGACAGATCTTTGCTTTTTTTCCCAAAACCAGAGCCTAAATGGGGAAGGGTGGAGGGAACCAGTTGAATTTAGTTGCATGTTTAGACTCAGAAGATGGGGGGCCCAATTGCCATATTTTGGGTAAGCTATTTGCATTTCCCAAGGATCTGGCCTCTTGGCACCCAAAACCTGCCATGAATGCTCAGTACCATCTTGGCCTATGGATGAGATTTTCTCATGTCCAGCTCTTCCCAACTGGAGGGTAAGCTCTTAAGGGGTAGAGGCTGCTCCCCCATTTTCTTTGGCATTGCTCCCAGCAAACTTCGGAGTAACAAGACAATGAGTGACTATTAGCCCTAATCTCAGCCAACCTTTCCTGCAGGCTCCCTAAGAGGAATTCCAAGGAATAGTTACTCCCAGGGAATAAGCCTTCAAGATCAGAAATGTCCCTCAGATACTCCAGTCTTTCATTTCTGCCCCATAGAAATTTGAATATCCCTGGACCCCACTTTCAATCTACTATGGTTGCATTCAGGATAAAGAACCATCAGCTTTCTCCCTATTACTTTAGGCTCAAGAGAGACCTCTGGTCCCAAACTTCCTAGGATTTGGCAAATAAGTCCACTTTGGGGTTTAACTCAACATGGGTCACAATCCTTTCTCAGCCAGAATTAAAGAGATCACCAAGACAAACAACATCACTTCCTTCTAGTGTAATAGAGGGTATCTTCAAATAACCTGCTCATTTAGATTCTCCCCACTTTTAAAAACAAAATAATGAATACAGCAAATGCCAGCTGAGTCCCCTTACCTATGTCTCTATTCTGTCTACCATACCATCTCCATCCTGCACCTTCCCAGGTATCCCTGCCCAGCATCACAGAAAAATTCCAGAATCCTTTTTACTAGCCTCTGCACCAAAACTTTCAGAGGGCATGACTTATTTGATTCCCCAAAGAGCAACATGTCAAATGAATTGTGGCATCTTTGAATCTATGTTAAACATCCCTGGTAACCCACTAAGAGACCAAATGATGACTCTTTTGTTTTTTAAGGAGAGAATATTCTTCTATCATAATTATAAAGCCATCTTTCCCATACCTAATTATGTTTCTTACAATTTTAATTTTCAAAGATGGAATCTGAGTATCATGGGATATCTCTATCTTGAGGTCAGCAGGTGTTGGGGATGAGCAGGCCTCAGGCATCCTTCTTTGGCTATTGGCTTAGTTACTGCTGTGGCCTTCTAACCTATTAACCTCTGGATTCTCTCCATTCTTTGATTTCACTAATCTTTCTAAACATGGCTTTAATCAGATTCCCCCCACCCCTGTTCAAGAACCTTCAATAGATCCTCTCTGTCTACAGGATAAAGTTCAAGGCCCTCCACCTGGCCTTCAAAGCTTTCCACAATCTGCCTCATGGCCTTATCTTCCTCTTGGACCTCACACTAACCTTTTGCTTCCAGATTGTGAGTCCACTCAAAGGCCAGCACCTTCAATGAGGATTTGCTGATTCACGGAATTTGACTGATCCCATGTCCTCAATACATGGACCAAGAGATCTCAAGTTCCATTCAGGTAAATACAGCTTCCTTGGCTGTGAATCATGGCTCTTGAGAGCCAGAAGGTCCTAGACTTTGCCTGGTCTAACACTGTCCATTTGAAAAGGAAGAAACCAGGGGATAGAGCAATGAAGTGACTTGGTTAGGGGAACACAGATCCACTAAGACTAAAATCAGTGGCTGAACTAAGACAGAGCACCCAAGGGTCAAATAGAGGAGAGAAATAAGACACTTTGGTTTTCGCAGGCTTTAATCACGTATTTTAGAGAGGGATTCAGAAAGTCTAGAAGCCCCTTCCCCATAGAACTGAACAGGATTTTCTCAGCAGATACTCAAAGTGCCAAAAAGTGCTCTCCAGACCACGTTCTCTAGGAGTCTGGTGGCTGACACCTTCAGGTAGGAGAGCAGAGGAGCTCAGTGAGAAGAGGTGAGAGGTAGCTGTAATTCTGTACTCTACAGGCACAGACTGCAGGCTCAGCCTGTAACAAGATGGAGGTGGGCCAATGATGCGTCTGCTCTGGCTGCATGTGTGGTGACAATACCAAACCTTGGTATCTCTGCCTTTGTTATTCAGCTTCAACAGGCCTACATGCCATGGCAATGAAGGTAAAAGATGTTAAAGGGAATGTTTAGACATGGGCAGAATCTGCCCAGACAGTGATTGAATCTCAGGCTCAGAAGGGACCTTGAAAGTCATCGAGTCCCATTTTTGCCCAAGGCTTCCATCTTCTTGACGCCATTCCCATTCATGCCTTTGTTTAAACATCACAGGTACAGGAAACAAAGCAGCAACTCCAGTTGTCATTGCAAAGTGCTTGCCTCTTATATGGGCCTTCCATTCACTGGCATCTGCTGGATGCCCCCACAGATAGGGTGCAGTGCACTAGACCTTTTCATCTCTTCTCCATCAAAACCTACCTAAGGCTCATGGCCAGGGGACCACATTCATTTCTAGGCTCCCAAGGTAGTTAACCCCCAAAGGTGTTTCAATGAGCCCCACCTCCTCTATTCATGGCCTTGGGTAGTTTGGGGCTGACCTGTAACTAGCTCTAACAAACAAACACACGGAGTGAAGAATGAAAACTTCAGGACTGTCTTTGGAAGGCCTGACAGCTCTCATTTTTGTGCTTCTGGAAGCTCTGAGCTGCCAGGTAAGAAGTCTGACCCCTGTGGAGACACCATGTGGACAGGGAAAGGCTCTGAGACAGCCTGGAGTGAGACAGAGGTTCAGCAGTGCAAGCATGTCTGTGGAGTCCCAGCCTCAAGCCCCTGGCCATGACATCCAGAGTGAGGCACCTGGGTCATCACCCCACTCCTGCCTCCAGACAATAGCAGCTCAGCTGATATTGCCTGGAGCAAAAAAATTGCCCACCCAAGCCACAGAATAACAATAAAGTGATTGTTTAAGCCTCTATGTTTTTGGTTTGCTACACAGCAAGGGGTAATTGCAGGAGTTCCCATGAACACTGACACAGAGATCGGTTTGGGTGGTGTCATTTGGCAGAGCTGTGGGACTCTCCAGGGGTAAAATGTCCCAGAGACCCAAAGGAGCACCCTAAGAGTGTGATACCAGGCACTGTGCAGGGCTAGCGGGAGATAATTCTGGGTACTAGTTCCTGTCGGTGTCCTCAAGCTCTCTGTACACAGAATCTGCTGCATTTTTTTATGGTTGTCAGCTTTTTCCTGGATCTGGATGTGTCTCTCCTACCATCACACAGAGCAAATGCACATCCCTTCCCAAGCCCGGCAGGAAGGACAGAACACAGTGGAGAACACCATACCATTTTTGAGACTCAGGTTCTCACGGATCTCCTCATGGTCACAGGGATGAGTGAAGTCAAAGATACTGTGTCCTGTTAGCTCCACCTGTTTCCAACACAAGGAGGCGTTTCTTTATTTCTAACATCGAAGGAGAAGATCCCCAGAGGAAGCTGAATCACCTTCCATGATTTGGAGATTCTGAGGAGACTGAATCAGGTCTCTCTTTTCCCAGCCCAGAGTTAGGTTCACAGAAAGATGGAGGTTAATCTAGCCAGGAGACAACCGTCTACCAGGATGGCCACCGCCAATGCCAAATGAGCCTGGGCGCGGGGAGGGGTGTGTTCCTGAGGCTTGCAGCCCCAGACCAGAGAAGGGCAGCATGGGTATATGAGGTCAGGGGGGATGTGACCCACACCTCCCACTCATTTCTGTTCCCAATGGAAGTGTTTTCCCTTCATGAAAGAGCCAAATTGGGGGTGGGGGGGGGTCTCACCTGGGTGAGTCCCATAAACTTGCTGATGTTTTCTGACAGAAAGATCATGTCTCCATCTTGGGTCACCACAGCAATGAAGCCCTCCAAGGCTTTCAGGTACAAGCTGTCCATCTGCTGGTCAGCCTCAGCTTCAGACTCATTTTCAGAACAAACTGGAAAGAGAAGGGGTCAGACAGCATGTATGAATGTGGTATTAAAGCAGATATGACTGGCATGAATGGATGTCTACCGGGTATAGCTCAAATGCATCAAGTGGACTTTTCTGGAAACACCTCTGCCAACCATCTAGGTATCTGCTAAGATTCCCAAGCAGCAGACATTTGACAAGGACACCCAACAGAGGCTTGGCAGACAGCACCGCTGTGGTGGCAGCACTTCTGGGAATGGTGGCATAGACATCCTGTGTCACAGCAGTAACAGAAGCCCTGTTTCCACTGGCGAGTGAACTGAGCAATGACCAGATACCAGGTACTGCACTAAGAACTTGATGTAATCTTTACAGCACCTACGAGGTAGGACTATTGCCTCATGTCCCAGGTGAGGCTTAGAGAGGATAAGTCATTTGAGGTTATTCAGGTTGGAGCTAGTGAACCCACACAATTGAATCCAGATTCTATTCCAAGATCAGTCTTCTACTTGGCTATGATTTTGGGTAACACCCTCTTTAAATATCAGTCTTCATCAGTGAAATGGTGATGATAATGTCCATCTCTTTGAGTTGGATTATATAAGGATTAAATAAGTCTGAAAAATGCCTTAAACATTACAGGTCATTATGAATTCCTTTCCCCTTTCTGCTCCCTTAAGGACACCGTCACTGCCTGCAAATCGTTCAGTCTAGCTGGGGACTGTGGAGCATACAGAGATGCAAATCTAAGTAAAAATGCCAGGGTCACAGAGCTGGGACCCAAGGAGGCATGCAGATGGTGAGTACTAAGGGTTCGGAGGAAGAGGTCACTTTGGGACAGCAGAGACAAGTGTTGCAAAGAAGGGAAGCTGAGGAGTCTCGGGGATATAGGGACCTCGCTCTGTAGAACAAAAGAGTTTTCTGGGAAGACACTGGAAAACATGGAGGTGGGAGAGGCAAGAGCAAGCTCCCTCCTGGGGAGTAATAAGAAGCACATGGCTAAAGAGGAGAGTCTATTTCCCAGTCTCAGGGATGGCAGTGATGAGCGGGTCCAGTGTCCTGGAGGAGCGGCATCTCAGCATTTCTTTGTGGAGAGTCGTCTGGAGAGAGTGAAGACCCCAGGTGTGAAACCCTGTGAGATTATGGTACTGCAGGTACTACAAAGTGGTTGCTAGGGGCAACCTGGAAAAGCACCTACCACCATCCAACCACTTGGGGTAGCTCTGAGCTATCATAGCCACCTCTTCGATCTATGAGATCTAAAGACTCAGCTTCCGTTCCAGACAAGCAAAGCTCTAGATCTGGCTATATCCTGAGACTACAGACATGATTTCAGTCATGCTTTCTGCCAGCTCATTTAACTCCAAACATGCATTTACTTAAAAAAAAAAAATTGTTTTGGGCCTCCCTGGTGGCAGAGCTGGTTGAGCGCAGCACTGTGAAGCTGTCAGCAGCCTCTGCAATGCAGGTTCGATTCCCGGCCGGCCGGGGAGAATCCCATATGGAGCAGCAGACCTCTCCTGTCTTGCCTGCTGCTCCCCTCAGCGGTGTCTTCGGTCCTTCTGCCTGTTCTGTCCCCACTCTGTCTCTGGTGAAATCTCTCACCCTCCCGTGCCTGACTATACCCCAGTTCTTGTATAAATAAATAAATCTTAAAAAAAAATTGTTTTCATCTCATACAAACATTAAGCCAAGTGTATCATGTTTAATTTATAGACTAAGGGGATTAGGGAGTAATTTGTCATTTATAAAAGTTAATATTCACATAGCTAAAAGGAATCTTTTAAACTTGACCGTTCTATCAAATATAAAATGCAATTAGATTTATGGGTCACTTGGCAGGGACATGTGGATGCCATGAACTGAGGTTGAAGCGCTTTCTGCAAGTGCACTAGATTAATTTGGTTCTCTCCTCCCATGAGCCCCTAAATTTAAGCTCAGTTATGTGCCATTATTCCTTTATTCCTCAAGAACAAATCCAAATTAGGAGATGTTCCTACATCGAAACCCTATTGGGCTTCAGTGGCACCACTGGGAACCAACTAATTTCAGGACACGGGATCAGCAAGTGCACTGAAGTCACAGCTGCTGTTATTTCTGCAGAGGAGCAGAGCAGGAAACCCTTTGGCAGGCCAACCTTCAGACCCTAGAGTTGGGCTGTGCATAGTAGAATCCTGTGTTTTGCTAAAATGGTGGAACAGAAAGAGGGAAATTCTTTCCTCTTCACACCCTGGCTCAGGCGGCTAGCTATGAGAGGGGAGACCATCTGGGAAAGACCTTACATTGCACACTTAATACCTGCTAAGGTTTCTGTCAACTAACCAGTCAGCGGAACTGATGATAATGAGCCAAACATCCAGGTGTGGGTGATGCCACACCAGTGTGAAGGGTCTGAGTTAACATCTACATTTAAACAGGTTTTAGGAGAGACGATGACTTAATTCAGTGCTGTCAAATTTGAGCATGCACCAGAATCTTCCGGAGGACTTACTAAAACAAGGATTTCTGGGCCCAGGTGTGCTATATAATTTGTGGGGCCCAGTGCAAAGTAAAAATGTGGGAGCTTTTGTTGAAAAATTAAGCCACACCCTTCTAAGTATGGAGCCTGTGGGGTCTCACAGGTACCGTACTCTGGAAGCCAGCTGTAGAGGGGCCCCACCTCCTGAGTTCCAGATTCAGTGGGCCTCAGGTGGGAGCTGAGAATCTGCTTTTCTAATAAGTTTGTAGGGGATGTCAATGCTGCAGTCTCGAGGCCCACAGACCGAGACTCACTGTCTTAAATCACGGCTCTGTGAACATCTATGCTGGGAAAACCAGCCTAGTTCATAGGTGGTGATTTATTTGGGGGCTGGGTGATGAGAAGTTTTCAGCACCATTTAAATCACACCAGAGAGGTGACCACCTTCTTCAGACAGCAGAGGCCAGCCCTGGGACTTCTGGCCTGCTGAGAAGATTTTCTCTTTAATTCCTTTGATCTCGGTGACAACACTGACTTTACAATCTGCAGTAATCCCCAAACCACACCATTTGGGTTCACTAGACCCAGAGGAAATAGTTCTGCTTAAAATTTCCTGTTATTAACAGTTCCAACACAACCAATCCAGTTTCCATCCATGTCCAGTACACTTGCTTCCAGGAGGTGGCGAAATTGGCTATGACAGCTGGCCAGCAGGCCTGGGTGGTGGGGGAGGAGAGGGTTATTCCGGCAGGAGTGGAAACAGTACCTCTTGGAATTGAAGTCACAATGGCTGGAGAACCCGGAAGCTAGTAGGCCCCCGGGACTGTGAGGGTGGGTTTCTTTCTTCTATTTGCTCTTTGCTAGCAGCAGCACCTGCTTATCCTCCTGGGGGCTTCTGAAAGAGCTCGGCCAACTCACACTCAGCTTGGATCCCAGGGTGAAACTGCAAGGCTGGAAGGCAGACCCTCACTGGGGGGCAGGGGCTCAGCACAGCACTCCCTGTGGGGGACTGCTCTACCCTTCCCTGCTCTTTCCTGTGAAGGTCATGTCTTCCCTAATCTATCAGTCACCCCCGTCGGTGTTAGCACAGGGAAGAGGCACTCAGTTCCTGCCTGGTCTCCACACTCCTACCAGGACAGGCATCTGCCCTGTGCTGGACACAAAGCAGGAAGTCAGGTAGGCCATCAGGCAACAAGGGTCACTTACTAAGTTCTTAATCCCGTCCTAGGGACAACCAGGATCCTGGGAGATGTAAGAGCAACCCACTTCCCTCAAGGAGCCCACAGACTTGTGGGGAAGACCAAGAGACACGGCCTTGAGGCTATACAACACACAAGAAGCCCTTCCTGTCAAAGTGAGGCGCACAAGAAGCCATCAACACGGTCGGTCAGTCACCAAGCTGCCCTGGACCCTGCAGGGTCCCTCCCCAAAGAAGAGGGGCAGAGCATCCAAATTGGAGGCACTGCTGAGACCAGCGCTCAGCCCAGCCAGGGAGTGCAAGAGTCTTTAATGCTAAAAATAGCCTCCGTAAACAGGCTTTGATGACTCCCCACAGCCAGGATATGCGCGGGCTGAGGTTTCGGAGCACTTTTTCCGGAGCACCGCTCATTTCCTTCAGGCAGCACCACCCACGTGGGGTGGACCCTGATGGGCAGCAGGGCTGGGCGTCTGGGGTGAGCAGATTGGTGGCAGGGCAGGTACTCTCCCCCAGGTTTCTGAGACCAGGACCTCAAGATGCGCTGCCGGTCAGCTTCCAGCACGGTCATTTTTTCTCCCTGTTTCAGAGAAGGTCCAGGACGGCTTTGGTTGTTCTTAAAATCATTCTGATGCAGTCTGCCTGTTCAGCTGTGCTTGGAAGACAGTTACCCCTTGTTCACATGACAGGACTTTCCTTTTAAGGGCTTTGCCCAAAAGGGTTCTCTGATTCCAGTTCTCCCTGGGGCACAGACCTATCACCACCCCCATTCCAGCTGTGCTGAATGCAAACAGCCCCAGTCAAGCCATAAATAAGGAGATTTTTGGGTCACTTACTGCATCATGCCTTTAAACCCCATTAGCAGGTACTAAGCTTGGGCTACCCTCACATCTTGGCAGAAGGCACAGCATTTATTCTACCAAATCTTGCCGGCCTCCCACATGGCCTTGAAGGTCCACCATTAGAGATTCATTCCTTTGTTCTTTACAATACTTATTAACCTACCTTACCTCTCTGTATCACCTTTTATGAGATATATCATAGGGCTAGGGCCAGCAATTACCTGCTGATTGATCAGACTTTTAAGTTAAAGAAATGATCTGAACAGGCCAATATGTTTAGAAGAGATTATACATTAGCTGTTCTCAGCCATTAACACCCTAGCATGAATCAGCTTATTGGCTCTTCTCCAAATAGGACAGAAATAGGACAGAAAAAGGTCTTGGTTTGCAGGGTGGGTAGAACAAGGGGTGGAACAGTAAAAAAGATGTGAAAGTCTGGGGAAAAGAAATCTGAAAGTAGGACATAAGGCCTTAGAAACCATATCTGCCTCCACAATTTTTCCTTTTTGATCCCATTTTTCCTGCATGAAAAGGTCACGGTAGGAATATGAAAATTACTTGTCCCACCTATCAGTGTTTCCCCCTGAGTAGTCTAGCAGTAGTCTCATATTGACTGATGCCTTCACTAAGCAGATGCCAACCAACCAATGATAAATCCAACAGTTCCTTTGGAAGCCTAGTTTCACACGGACCCCAGCTGGTGTGGAGCTGAATCCGACTCCCCCACATTAAGTGTGGGGACGCCAAACACCACTTTTACAGTGGAAAGCCAGTTTTGCATGTTTACTGCTGTTTAATGCTCTCCAAATGCAGGGGTGACCCTGATTTGATCGCAGTTTATGGGGCTCATCTTGAAAGAGGATTTAAGACAATCAAGCGGTATTTCCACTGATGTTCCCGTCAGAGTGTGTTCTGTTCTCGGCCCAGCGTGGAAGTTAATATCATAAAGCTATTGTTTTAGTTTGCTTCCTGTGATACAAATCTCAATCGGCGGCCCAGACTCCCAGCCTGAATTTCTCAACGCTGAGGTTTCCTCTCCAGCATTCCCACACAGAACAGCCTACTGTGAAAATCAAAGGGAAATATGTTACTAAGTAAAGAAGAAGTCTTTCTAAAGCAAAACCTGGTCTTTTTTAGGCTTTTGAACTCTGAGGTATTCAACCAGCTATTTCCTATTATAAAGTTGAGCCAACACTGGCGCTCACCTTCGTCAGAAATGCTTCGATAATGAAGCTGAGCTTTGCCTTGATGGGGACAAGCCTGGCAACCCGGCCTTTTGATAGATATTGCTCAAAAGGTGGGTAAGAGGATGACAAGGGTTTACGCTGGGTTTTCTCTGACATCATTTCTCCGGAAGCCCATATTTTTATAAATCAACTTTTTTTGTTCTCCATATTTTTGATTTCTGAGCTATCGCTCATGGAGGCCCTAAAAATATGGCAGGCAAGAACATAAGGGCTTTTCTATCCATTATCTCGATGCTCAAGCAGCACAGAGGGTAAGTACTATTAGCTCCTTTGTGCCCATAAGTAAAGCAGCTACACTGAGGCTTGGTGCAGGTCTGTCTGCCCACAAATCCTGGACTCCTTTCCATTGTACTACCTGTGTTGAAAAAGCAAACTATGATAAAATACCTAAAAAAAAAAAAAAAAAAAAGACCCCGTCTCCCACTGTTGCTGAAAACAGTTTCAACAACTGGTCTAGGACTGCGTGGCAGAGGCTGGAAATGAGGGTGGAGAAAGGGGATATGAAAAGCATCTCTCCCCTGGGCAATGCGTGTTTTGTGAGAACTGCGCCTTCAAGGACGCAGCCCCAGATGGCCGAACGTAGACACTTTTTATCCTTTTCCATCATTTCTTTCCTCAGGACACAGAGTTCCAGAGCAGATCTGCCGAGGCTTTGGTGGGCCTGGGGCTGAGATCAGCCAGAGGGCAGGCAGTTTGTGTCCACAACTTGCAACAGCTCCTGAGTGGGCCGGGTTGTATGTGACGGTGGCCACCCTGTTCCTGTCTATCTCCCTGGGCGTGGCATGCAGGGGGTCACACTGGCGCATGCACAGGCACGCGTGCTCAGAGGGCCCAGTCTCTGGCCCGTGGTTCTCCTGGAACCAAACTCTGAATCACTGAGAAGATGGCCAGGCCTGGCTGTTTGAGGGCACCGGAAACAAGCCCTGCACCAAGAGAAAGAAGGGAAAGGAGTCTCTGCAGGTGTGAGGCCTCCCCCCAACCCTACTCCCAGGGCTGGCCCCAGGGCAGCAGTTTAACTTTGGGTCTCCTGCTGCCCCTTCTCCTCCCTCTCACCCAATCTGTGTTAATATCTTTGCCTGACTAGGTTTGCAAGATGTTCCTGTCCTCCATACGTTCTTCCCATGGACCAAGACTCATAAGGACTTGAATTCCAGTGCAGATTCACCAGGTGTTAATTGTGCGACTCCAAGTCACCTTAACTTTTCTGTGCCTCACTTCTCATCAGCTGTGAATCAAGGAGAAATGGCCTTCAAGTTCAAATCAGAGAAGTGTACTACTCTTCCAGGGCTCTCTGTTGGGTGAGGAATGGGGTTTGAGGAGGAAAGAAAAAATGATTAACCCAAAGGAATTAATGTCTAAAAGTAGAACTTCAGGGCCCAAATAGGGAGGGGGTTGACTACACATGAAATCCTCCATTGCCTTCTCTCTTCCTCCTCTGTTTATATGTACAGGTGATTCCAGCAGCACCAGGCACTGCCTTCACCCGTCCAAGAAGCTGAGCCTCTATAAAGGAGGAGGTACATATGTGTCCTATGATGGCGCCTTCAGGCCTTTTTACCACTTCAGTCCATTGTTCCCTCTCTCTGGAGTGCCTGACATTGCCTTGCATTGTTTCCTCCCAAGTATTTATAGACAAGTCTGCTCTCCGTCCTCCCCCTCCTGCCTGTGCTTTCCCGAGACTCTTTAGACGTACAGTATAAGGTTAGACCTCAGTGGGTTGGACCTACCGAGCTGTCATCCTATTTTCTGGAAGTCTTTCCCCCATATCCTTCCTGTGGTCCAGAGCCCAGAATAGCACCTGCCAGTCTTGTCCCCCAGCCTCACACTGGATTCCCTCTGCTCAGGATTTCTTTCCCAGAATAGCCACTCCATAACAGGATGGCAGAATCAGCCTGGCTCCAAGGCACCGGGCGCTCTCAGGAAAACTGAAAAGCCATCACAAAAGAAACTTCTCCTCATAGTGTGCTCCCTTGTGTGCCCCACCTGGACACCGTGCACCTGCAATGACACAAGCAGGTGAGGAGGGGCACCATCCACTGCCAGTTTCCCAAGAAAGCTGCCAGACTAGACGAGACGGCCACATAACATCTGGCACTGGAAAACTCCTCAGGCCACATCTTTCAGGTCAAGACTAACAGGAAATGGTTTTTTGAAGAATATGAATGCTGAGAAAAAAAATGGTTTGCGAACTTGAAACTTGCAGAGATAACAGGGAGAGTGAGAATTAGTTGGTTCTGTGGGGAGGCTGCGGTCAGTCCAGGACTGCCCAGTGCAAATGGGTGCAGCTGGGCCAGGTGCTTGCAGACAGCTTCTTGGTGAATTCTCACAGACACCCTTTGCAAAAATTACTTTTAACTCCTTTTTACTGATGGGGAGGCCAATGAGCAAAGACATCGAATAATCTTCCAGGCACACCAGCTCCTATGGGCACACCTCCACCCTCCTAGAGAAGGCAGCTGAAGGCACACATTAAGATGCTTCATAAGGATTCCGCTCTGTGTGGGATAGGGGTCTCATGGCCGGATGGCAAGGCAACCAGGAAGCCAGCCAAAGCTGCCCTTGGTCCCCCTGGCCCTCTCTGTCCTCCTCAGCTTCCAGGGGCCACATGCTTCCTGGTTCCTGTCCTTGCATTTCACTGTTGGCTGTATTCACTGAAAAGGTCATTGCTGGGGCTATTTACAATAGCCAAAATAGGGAAACAACTTCAATGCCCCAAAACAGAGGAGTGGATCAAGAAGATATGGTACATATACAAGACAGACGGCTACTCCGGATCAGAGGAGATAAACTCAGGCCATTTGTGGCAACATGGATAGAGCTGGAAGGAATAATACTAACTAAAATAAGTCAGAAGGAGAAAGATAAATACCGGATGGCGTCTCTAATATGTGGACTATAAAGTAACTAAACTAAGAGTCAGATAAAGACAAGCTTACAAACTAACCCTTGAAAGCTGACTTCAAAACGGAAGCATCCAGAGGGAAGAGGGGGTGGGGGAGGGGAAGAACAAAGAGCGGAGGAGGCACAACGGACTGTGGTGCTGGACTGTGGGCAAACTGGTGGTGGATGCATCACAGTGGCCACACCTGACGGGGTGTCCAAATAACAACTAGAAATAAAGAAGAAATAAAGAAGGGAGGGAGGGAGAGTGGGGAAGAGACGAGGGAGATGCTCAGCACAGAGGAATAAGGCACAGTGATGACATGTCGTGGGGTGGAGGGACAAGTTTTGCAGTGCGGGAGATCCTGGTGGGAAGGCCTCCCAGCTCTGCACGGCACCTCCTGTGTGCAGGGACTTGCTGGTAGGGCTGCCGCACCGGCCTCACCTGAGGACAGGAGCTTGTGTGTACGCAGGAAGCTGATGGCCAGGCGCATGATGGAGGCCTTGTCCAGGTGGGAGCTCACGCTGTGAGGCAGGGGCAGCTCGTGGGCCAGCTCATAGAAGACCTCCGTCTCCTTGCTCCGCCGGCACCTTGCAGCATCTCGGGACTTCTCCTTCCTCCTCTCCGAGCTACTCCTACATTAAGAGAGAAGGGGAGGGGTTACTTCCTAAAATGTCACTGTCATCCTATGACATCCCTGGCCAAGACTTCCCTGGGGTCCCCTGCCCAAGGTACAAGTCCAGCTTTCCCACTGAACACCATCAGGCCGGCACGGGCTGCCTCCTATGGACAGTTCGGCTTTCACGTGTGTTTACGTGTTCTCAACTACCTGCCTCCTCTCGCAGTCCCTTGGTGTTTGGAACAGTGAGTGGGGTTTGAGCAAAGACATGCTGATTAAGCTAATCAACTGATAATACATTGGCCTCTGTCCTGGGGGAGGTGGGGCAGGGGTGAATGTCGAGGGATGGAGAGTGAAGGACTAGAGAGCCGTGGACCAGATGGCTGTGTCAAAGGCTCTGGAGAGCAGGTGAAAGTGATTTCAAGTTTCTCTTTTTGGATAAAATGCACTCAGAAAAAATTAAGCCCAGTACCGGACCTCAGACACCATTTCATTTCAGAGAGTGATTTCCACAATAAAAATTGAAAATGCCATATGGGGAATACAAAAATAAAATTTATTTAAAAAAAAATCCCACCAAATTAATGTTTTCTTAGAAATTTCACATTTCAAATAATAACTATTAAAGTTTTTCAAATTGTAAAAATAAAATAAAATAAAATAAAATAACTGCTGTGCAAAAAAATAAATTAATTAATTAAAAAAAAATTGAAAATGCCATTATAGCTCAAGAACGGCCAGACAGACACCCATCAGTCTGGTGCTCCAAGTTGTGTACCCAACATGGGTTAGAAAGGAGTGAGCACAAATCTGTTTTTTTCCCAAATTCTACCAGCATAGACAGAAGGAAGGATGGTACATACTAAGCCTGCCTTGTCAGAAGTCCTAAAGCTATCCTAGATCTCCTTAAAAAAACTCATGGTAAATTTAAAAGCCTAAATTGACACTCTAATTTCTCCATTTGCAAGCTTTGTACATTTAACATTATTTTAAGTTGTTTAGCTTCTGTTCTCTCATCTATAAAATGGTAACAGTATTTACCCCAAATAGTTATTGTGAACATGTATTATGATTGTTTGTACAAAATCTTTAGCACCAGGCCTGTCCCAAGGGGAAGTGATCTACGGGTAGCTAAGAGCAGTAACAACACACTGGCCCAGAAAAAGATGTTGAGAATACGAAAGTTTTAAAAAATTACAGTATAATCTTCATTTTCACAGAAATGTACATATCATACATACTACTTCTCACGTACTATGAAGGCAAAAGTCTAGAAATACAGTAAAATACTGTCACAGCTACCACGGACACAGTGCTTACTACATCCCAGGCAGTGTTTTACGCACTATTATGTGAGCTACTTTGATACCCACAACTATCCTGGGGGTAGGCCTTATTATTATTGTCCCTAGTTTACAGAAAAAGGGTCCACAAAGGCTAAGTAATTCATGCGAGCCTCAGCAGGTAAAAGGAAAGGGGCTTTGCACCAGGCAGGTGGCCCCAGAATCCAGGCTCTTAGCCATCAGCGACTGTGCTCTCCACGCTCAAAAATGTTAGCAGTTTCAAGTCAGTAAGATTACAGGGAATTTTCTTTTTTAGTGCTTATCTGTATTTTCTTAAGTTTCTATAAATAACATATATTGTTTATTTAATAAACCTGCTTATTTTTTATTGTTGAAAAAGTGTCCAATGCATTTCCTGGCTCTCAAGGCCTCCTCCAACCAGTTCCAACTCATGCTTTATTCTACCTTTAGAGGTTCTAAAACCAGCAGCCACTTCTCCTTCCGTTTGGCTTTGCAACCCATTATCTGGACAGAAAAATCAGTATTTTTGGATTCATGGAATGTCAACATGTCTTTCAAACCCCTCAAGATTTGGGGTAGAAGGCAGTATTTTGACTTTACAACTTGCTTCACTTTAAAAAACAAAACCTCCAACTCCTTGGAAAGATTAGCTATCGGATATTCAGAGCACAGGCTGGATTGTGCAATAGCTATTGATGTCAGAAAGACTCCAGGGACTCTGAGATGGGGAAAGTTATTTTCTTGTTCTATTTCCCTTTTATGATTCCTTTCTCCATCACATGACTTCCAACTTCAGACCTGTCATCCCTCCCTGCATCCTACCATTGTCACCCTCTCAGAACCTGATTTTTTGCTTTTGCACCAGACGCTTGGTACCACTTTGTATCACATATTTTAATCCTAACCTCTGATGGTAGACAAAAGCGGCTGTTCAAGGTTTGCAAGCCCCCTGGCACAGGAAAGGAGGTTGGGAAGGAGGCAAAATACTACGACTGCACACACCATGTCTGCACGTGATGAGGGCCAGGAGGACAGCCAATTCCATTCTCTGGTACCAACCGCTGTGCTCCCCAACAAAACGATCAACAACTACCCCACTCATCAGGGGCATCCAGAGAAGCCATCTGGGGAGGCAGGGATCTCCAACACAGACTATAACATGTCTGCATGCACAATGTCTGCATGCGCAATGTCTGCATGCACACTTTCCCTTGTCTTTCCCACTTTTCCTTCGTTATAGTGGAAGAGCAGGTGAGGAGGAGAGGAAGGTGGGAAAGGCAGTTGGGAGCTGCTGCTCTATCTGGCGATAGTATTTAAGATTTGGGGGTCCTGCTGTATTCCCTCAACCACACAAATAGAACCTTTTGGTTTTTTTTTTTTTAATTAAAAAAAAAGATTTATTTATTTATTTATATAAGAAGCAGGGTAGAGGCCAGATGCGTGGGAAGGTGAGAGGATTCACCAGACAGAGTGGGGAACAGAACAGGCAGACTAACGAAATACACTGCTGAGGGGAGCAGGGGGCGAGACAGGAGAGGTCTGCTGCACCATGTGGGATTCTCGCCGGCCAGCCGGGATGGAACCCGCGCTGCAGAGGCTGTGGACAGCTTCACAGTGCGGCGCTCAACTGCCTGCACCACCAGGGGAGGCCCAAATAGAACCTATTTTTGTAGCTGGCACTGAGAACCTCGTATACATGACCCCGTTATAATTCTAACACACGAAATGGTAGGTATCATGAGTATAGTTTACACATGTGGAAACTGAGGCTCAGGCATAATATGTAACTTGTCCAAGGTCGCAAAGCAGATGTCAGCATAAGCCCTTGGCATATGTACAGTGAGAAAACATACTGAGAAGCATGGGTGCTCCCTTTCTAGTTCCATCCTCGCAACCTGCACGTGAGGTGGGAAAGATAGGCATGGCCACTGCCCCCATTTCACAGATCTGGAAACCGAGGCCCAATCAGGTTAAGTTACTAGCTAGGGCAATCCAACTAAGCAGTGGCAGAGTGAGGGCCAGAACCCATTTCTTCCTAGACTTTGCCATTTAACTGTAGCAAGAAATAAAGAAGTAAAGCAATATCTTAACATTTAGGAAAAGAAAGATTAAGAATCTTCTGGCCTCTTGGTTTAAAACTCACGAGCTCCATCTCTGCTCCCCTGCTTTTACAGTTGCTCTGGGACTAGCCTACCTTTAATTACATTATCTCACTAACCTTGACAAACCCCAGAGAGATCTGTCTAATGTTGATTCTTAGAAGAACAGACAAAAATCTGTAACACTGACATCATTTAATTAGCAACCCTGAAGAACAAGAATAATTAACATGAAGTCAGAAGGTAGGGCCCCTCCCCTAGCACAGTCGATGTAAGTACTCTCCACGCTTGCTCAGTTTGTAACAGGGTGGGCCTCTTCGCAAAGAGAATGCAGGGTTGGAAGGTATGAGAACAGCTGTGAGAATACACAGCTCTCTGATTTTGGACAAGAATATACATTCACTGTACCGTGATACTCTCATCTGTAAAATGGGAGAAATCTCATGTCTCCGTCAGGATCAAATGAGACAGTATAGGAGGGTTGAAAGTCCTAGAAAGTTCTCCACAAGTGAAAACCATCAGAGCAGATCATAATGACCCCATTATCTGGCTAATCACACATTAGTCACATTCAGACTTTGGCCATTACAGCTGTTCTTTGTCACTGAACCAACACTGTCTTAGGCTGGAGGTGGTATTTGCCGGTAAGATTGATCTTTTTCTTTGTGCCCTATTGCCAAACCTCCTGAAATACACAAAGTTTCATTTCTTAAAACTCTGAGCTTTATTTTCTCTCCCTAGGTGGGTCCTAGAATTAACTGCAATAGAACAGATTTTTTTAAAATGACAATTATGGGAGTCCCAGGTTCTGGCATGTTCTGGCCATGTTCTTCCATGTTCTGGTTGCCCACAAAAAGACATTTTATCCTAAAATTTCCATATAAGCTCAGAAAATTTTTTCTTACTCCAAATTACTTTTTCTACAAAGTTCCTGCTCCTACCTTTCTTGGTGGCTCTTGTGAAGCCACAGGGTGGCCTGCACCATGTGTGGCGAATGGAGCACACAACATAGACCTGACCTTGGTTAACTGTGGCCTCACAGTGCCCCAGAAGTGTTTACTGAGCTCGGTGCAGGACCCTGAGGGAATGCAGCATGGACAGGGTGCACATTTGTAGCTCTCAAGCAGTAGGCAGCCTAGGGAGAGAGCCAACGGCTTGAAATACCTCCATTAACCACAGAAAGACAGATGGTCCCTGACATGATGATTTTTTCCCCCAACTTTTTCCTGTGGTAAGAAGGTGATACGCATTCAGCAGAAGTTCTTTGGATGTCAGTCTTTTCCCAGGCTAGCTACATACACAGGACACTCCTGCTTGCCCTGGGCAGCAGCTACAAGCCACAGTCAGCCACACGGTCAGAGGGTAAACAACTGATACCCACAGAGGACTGTGTTGCCAGCAGTTTTTAGATGCTGTTTTGTGTTTTCCCATCTCATCGTGTCTACACTGCAACCTAAAGTGAGTGTGCTGAGCACATTTAACGTAGGCTGGACTAAGCTGAATTTGAGAGGTTAGATGAATTGAATACATTTTCAATTTAGGATGGGTTTTTCAGCATGTAACCCAGTATAAGTGGAGGAAGACCTCTGAGAAGCTTTCAACAAATCTGAGGC